AAAATGATGGTGATGATGACGGATTACATCCAATTAAATATGTTGAACACTTGAATTATTAATGAAGCTCAGAAAAATGATCCAAAATTACATCTCAACATCATCATCATTGATGCAAACTCTAGGAGAAACTAATGAAAAATAGAAAGTTAGCAAATGAAAATGTCATTATTAAATACTCACAATTAACACAAAATCTGTCGTTATTACCCCAAAATCGCCAATCTGGAAGCCAGTCGTTGGCAGCGTTGTTCTGTTCAAGATTTCAATCATCTGCAATGATAAACATTCATTTTAATATTCAATTAATATATAACTTTGGAATAATATTGTTTCACAAATTTCAATTTACTTTTAATTTCATGTTTATTGTAGCTTTACTTTTAAGATATACTTGATGCCACATTGGATAGAGCCTTCCAACCTAAGCGATGCAAGAAGACAAAAAAATTAACTTGAAACATTTTACTAAAATCACAGCTAAAACTATACCTTGTTGGTTAATCTGGCACAAACTAGACTAATTATCAAAGTATAACTAATAATGATGATTCCGAGGCCAGCAATAAGAGTGTCCATTACAAAGGAATGATTTCCAATGATAATGGCAAACTGTATAAACCAAAGCGATTGAAGAGCTACTCCAGTGTAAAAATAGAAAACCAAGAAACGAACTTTTCTAAAATTCAAATCCATTGCATTGAACAACACTGTCGCATGTTTCGTGATGAATTTAATGTCTGTATTGTAAGGCTTGTCAAGTGATTTGAGCAGTAGTGAGGTTGCGTTTATTAGCGATTCCATGTGGAAATTATGGACAGTAGCATAGAAACAAAGGACTGCGCTAATAAAGACCAGTTGAGTTGTTAAAAGCGTCACTAAAGGTGTCAATGTTAAGGTCCATGCAATCTCAAAGAAGAGTGTTTTAAATGAAAAATGATTGTAAAGGTTGATGACGAGCTCATAATTGTAAAGGATGGATACGTAAAGAATGGTCACTGGAATGCTAAAGATGTAAAATAAACTAATGTAATAACAAGTGCGATTGAAGTCTTTTTGTTGAGGTTGAACAAATGGAAAATGAGAAAATCCATTTTTCAGTAAATCTTTTACCCTGATAGCTGCCCCAACAAATCCACCTTGCCTTTCAACTAACATTACACCTTCATGAGTAAAGTACATTATGCCTGTGCCAACAACGACAACAATCTTCAGAACATCTCTGTCTTTGGATGCAAACAGTGGATCACCCAAATATATTGCTGTGTCACCTTCGGCACTAAACACAAAAAAGGCTCGTGAAAGGTTGATCAATATGAAAAATCGAACCAACCAATTCTTCAAGTCGAATTGGCGCTTCATTTCAACAAGTCTCTCGACACTTTGATCGAAACCCAATCTCAAGGCAAAGTAAAACACAATTTGATGTTCCAATGTTTCAACAGCACCAATCGCAAGCTGCTCAAAATCATGCTCATTCAGCTGTTGGCGAAATATTAGTTGAACGAATTTCCACAAATCGGAAAGCAATAACGCCAAGCGATGCTTAGCAAGCTTTTGTTTCATTTTGGTCGAATTGGTCAGTTGAACTCAAGAATGCGGCATTATTCAATTCACTTAATTCACTTGAGTAAATGTTTTTCACTTTTAAATCAACAAAAAGTATAAATTTGAGTTTCTTAAATCATCTCGAAAGGAGTGTCTATTGGTTAATATTGATCAAAGGTCTTTATTGAAACTGAATTGTTATGTTTTATATTTTTCCTTTTCTGATCAATTAAATTCATCATTATCCCTGGTTCTGGGTGCATCAGTTGATTATCAAGAACTGTGTTAAAAATTGGTTGATGTTGAAAAACGATTTAATATTTAATTTCTAGTTCTTTCACTCCTTATTAGGAATCTTATTTTAGTCTAACTCATCTTATTAACCTATTGACGATTTGAGTTCAGAGTAATAAAATAAACGATTCTCAACGTCACTCAAATGTTCAAGTTTTTACTAGTATTTCTTTCAACATGAATCCTGACCTCACCTTGAACACTTTGAAACTGTTTTTCAATCGATAAAATTCATTATTTCCTTGAATCTTAAAAATTGATCAAATCTGCAATGACTATTAGCATTGTAAAAGAGTTGAAACAAAAACAGTCAAATTAATGATTTCACGCGAAACTTGACTTTTTAATTGTAATACTTTATCAACATGAAATGGTTAAAGAAGGCCGAAGGAAAATGCCCATCAAACGGGCAAAATTAAAAAAGTTCATTAAATTACTTAATAATGCACTGATTGATAGATGCTTCTCAGCTTGAGTTGAACTATTTGCAATATCATCGACATTATCA